TCCCTTTGGTGCTATTCTCATGATAGAGTTCTCATGAGATCTGGTCACTTAAAAGTGTGTGGCAACTCCCCTCCCTCTCTCTTTCTCCTGCTACAGCCATGATTCCCCTGCATATTTTTCCATGAGTGTGAGTGTGAGTTTTCTGAGGCTTACAACTAGAAGAAGAAGTAAAAGCTGCTATGCTTCCTGTACAGCCTGCAGAACTATAAGTCAATTCAACCTCTTTTCTTTACAAATTACCCAGTCTCAGGTATTTTTTATAGCAATGTGAGAATGGAGAATACAGAAAATTGGTATTGATGAGTGGGGCATTGCCCTAAAGATACCTGAAAATGTGGAAGCAGCTTCAAACTGTCTAAGGGACAGAGGTTATAAGAGGAGTGTGGCAGGCTCAGAAGAAGATAGGAAAATGAGGGAAAGTTTGGAACTTCCTAGACACTTGTCAAATTGCTGTAACCAAAATACTGATAGTGATATGGACTATGAAGTCCAAGTTGAGGAGGTCTCAGATAGAAATGAGGAACTTACTGGAAACTGGGGCAAAGGTCACTTTTGTTATACTTTAGCAAATAATTTGGAGGCATTGTGCTCCTGCCCTAGGGATCTTTGGAACTTTGAACTTGAGAGTGATGATTTAGGGTATCTGGCAGAAGAACTTTCTAAGCAGCAAAATATTTAAGATGTGGCCGGGCTGCTTCTAAAAACCTATGCTCATATGTGTGAGCAAAGAAATGACCTGAAACTGGAACTTCCATTTAAAAGGGAAGCAGAGCATAAAAGTTTGGAAAACTTGCAGGCTGACCATGTGTTAGAAAAGAAAATCCCATTTTCAGGGAATCAATTCAAGCTAACTATAGAAATTTGCGTAGGTAAAAAGGAGCCAAGTGCTAATAATCAAGACAATGGGGAAATGTCCTTGAAAGCATTTCAGAGAACTTTGTGGCAGCACTTCCCATTACAGGCCCAGAGACTTAGGAGGAAAGAATGGTTTGGTGGGCCACGCCCAGGGCCCTTCCATCCTGCACAGCCTTGGGACACTGCTCCCAAAATCCCAGTTGCTCCAGCACCAGCCATGGCTCAAAAGTACAGCTAGCTGCTGCTTTCTAGGGTGCAAATCATAAGCCTTGGTAGCTTCCACATGGTGTTAAGCCAGTGGGTATAAAAAGTGCAAGATATGAGGCTTAGAAGCCTTTGCCTAGATTTCAGAGGATGTATGGGAAGGCCTTGATGTCTAGGCAGAAGCCTGCTGCAGTGGTGGAGCCTGCATGGAGAACCTCTCCTAAGGCAGTGTATAGGGGGAAATGTGGGGTTGGAGACTTGTTGAACTGTTGCAAAACAAAATGCTGATAGTGATATGGACAGTGAAGTCCTGGCTGAAGAGGTCTCAGATGGAGATGAGAAACTTATTGGGAACTGGACAAAGGCCACTCTTGCTATTCTTTAGCAAAGAGACTGGCGTCATTGTGCTCCTGCTTTAGAGATATGTGGAAGTTTGAACTTGAGGGAGATGATTAGGGTATCTGGCAGAAAAAATGTCTAAACAGCAAAGTATTCTATATATGGCTTAGCTGTTTCTGAAAGCCTATGGTCATTTACATAAACAAATAAATGACTTAAAACTAGACCTTATATTTAAAAGTGAAGCAGAGCATAGAAGTTTGGAAAATTTGCAGCCCAACCATGGGGTAGAAAAGAAAACCCATTTTCTGGGGAGGAATTCAAAGCTGCTTAAATTTGCATAAGTAAAGAAGAGCCAAATGTTAATAGCCAAGTCAATGGGGAAAATTCATTCAGGGCATTTCAGAGACCTTTGCGGTAGCCCCTCCCATCACAGGCCTGGAGGCCTATGAGGAAAGAATGGATTCTAGGGCGGGCCCAGGGCACCGTTGCTCTCTGCAGCCTTGGGACATGGCACCATGTGTCCCAGTCACTCCAGCTCTGGCCATAGCTAAAAGGGCCATTGCTTAGGCCATAGATTCAGAGGCTGCAAGTCCCAGGCTTTGGCAGCTTCCATGTGGTATTGGGCCTGCCAGATGTGCAGAAGGCAAGAGTTGAGGTTTGGGAGCCTCCACCTAGATTTCAAAGGATGTATGAACACCTGCATGTCTAGGTAGAAGTCTGCTGCAGGGGGTGGAGGCCTCATGGAGAACCTCCACTAGGGTACTGTGGAGGGAAAATGTGGGGTTGGAGCCCCCACACAGAGTCCCCACTGGAGCATTGCCTAGTGGAGCTGTGAGAAGTGGGCCACTATCCTCCAGATCACTGAATGGTAGATTCACTATCAGCTTGCACTTTGTACCTGGAAAAGCCACAGGCATGCAAAGCCAGCCCTTGAGAGCAGCTGTGGGGGCTGACCCCTGCAAAGCCATCCTGCCCAAGGTCATGGGAGCCTGCCCTTTGCCCCAGTATGTCTTGGATGAGAGACATGGGGTCAAAGGAGATTATTTTGGACCTTTAAAATTTAATGGCTGTCCTGCTGAGTTTTGAACTTGCATGGGGCCTGTAGCCCCTTTCTTTTGGATGATTTCTCCCTTTTGGAATAGGAGTATTTACCCAATGCCTATACCTCCATTGTGTCTTGGAAGTAACTAACTTGTTTTTGATTTTACAGGCTTGTAGGTGGAAGGGACTAGCCTTGTCTCAGATTAGACTTCTTTGGACTTTTGAGTAAATGCTGGAACGAGTTAAGACTTTGGGGGATTGTCAGGAAGGCATGATTATATATTTGTGATGTGAGAATGACATGAGATTTGGGAGGGACTGGGGGAATTCTGTGGTTTGGAGGTGGGGCCTGGTGGGAAGTGATTGGATCATGAGGGTGGTTTCTAATGGTTTAGTATCATTCCTTTGGCACTGTTCTCATGAGAGAATTCTTACAAGATCTGGTTGTTTAAAAGTGCACACCTCTCCCCTCACTCTCTTCCTCCTGCTATGGCCATGTGAGATGTGCCTGCTTCCCTTTCACCTTCTGCCATGATTATAAGTTTCCTGAGGCTTCCCAACAACAGAAGCTGCTATGTTTCCTACACAGCCTGCAGAAGCATGAGAAAATTTAACCTCTTTTTCTTATAAATTACCCAGTCTCATGTATTTCTTTATAGCAGAGCAAGAATGAACTAATATAGGGATATTGTTTTGTGGGCAGTTGTAGAAATACTGGCAAGAGGTAATAGTGGGTCTAACAAGATAATGACACTGGGTAAACAGAAAAGAATGGATTTTGAAAATACTAAGAATAAGAGATTTACCACTTAATGTGTAATCTTGGACAAGTTACTTACTGTTTCTTCCTTTGCTTATAAACATTTATGCCTCATGCCTATAATTTCAGAACTTTTTGGGGCTCAGGCTTTAGGATCATTTGAACCCAGAAGTTTGAGAATAGACTGTGCAACATACAGAGATCTCCATCTCTACCAAAAATTAAAAAAAAAAAATAGCAGGGCATAGTGGTATGTGCCTGTTGTCCCAGCTAGTTGGAAGGCTGAGGTGGGAGGATCACTTGAGCCCAGGAAGTCGAAGCTACAGTGAGCTGTTTCTGCTACTGCACTATAACCTGGATGACAGAGCAAGGGCCTGTCTCAAAAACTTTTTTCATCAATTTCTTCTTAGAACTAACAGAGACAATTGGTTAGAATGTGCATAATTCATCCTGTGAAGCCCTCAGTGATTGTCTCTTTTCCTTCCAAGCAAGCCCTTCAATACCTACATGGTGATCTCCATAGCAGAGTTCCCAGGTCTACCTCCCGTGGTCAATTCTCCATTCTCCAACATTATGTGTCCCTTATCTTTCTCCCAACTTCCTAGTCCTTATACCTCCACTTAATTCCCAGATTGCAGGTGAATGTCACCAAGGATAGCCTTATTTACTGGAATATGTGCTTGATAGTTCTAATTACTTGAAGGATGCATTTAGCTATTAAAATAAGGACAGTCACAAAAGACCCAACAGATTTAACCTTAAAGCATGTACCTCGAAACTATACGTGTAAGCAGTGTGGCCTACGGACATGGTAGCCATGCATCCAGGATCTCCTGCAACAGTTTGGTCATGGGCCCTGCGTTTTATTGGTTCAGAAAATATGGTATCTTTGGGCAAAAATCGCTGTGTGTTTATTTATTTGACCCGGAGTCTTGCTCTGTCACTGGACTGGAGTGCAGTAGCGCGATCTTGGCTCACTGCAACCTCTGCCTCCCTGGTTCAAGCAATTATCCTGCCTCAGCCTCCCGAGTAGCTGGGGTTACAGACATGTGCCACCACGCCCAACTAATTTTTGTATTTTTAGTGGAGACGAGTTTCTCCATGTTGGCCAGGATGGTCTCAATCTCCTGACCTTGTGATCTGCCCGCCTTGGCCTCTCAAAGTGCTGGAATTACAGGTGTGAGCCACTGTGCCCGGCCCCGATCACTGTGTATTTGAATCAGCTTTACTGTCCACCATAAGTACCCCTTTCTTTTTTCACTCTCCCTTTTCTTTCATTTCTTTTTCTTTTTTTTTTTTTCCTTTTTCTCACTTTTACCCTTCTGCTGTATATATGATTGCCTCTAATGACACCCCCAAGCACCTTGACTTTTTTAGTTTGGTTTTAGGGTGCTTTGAAACCAGTTCTTCTCCACCAAGGGAGGCTTTTTAAGTCAATCCCTTTCCTGAAGTATGACATCCTTCCTTTCTTGTCTCTGTGCTTATTTACGTTAAGATTTTACCCGTAAAAGCTCTGTGTCTGAGTTGATTCTGCTAAGCTGAATTTCCATATTCTCCAAGGAGTGCTTTCATTCTGCACTCTAGCTTGAACTTGGCACTCTCCTTCCCTCTCTTCTCCCAATTTAAAATTGTCCTCACGATGGACAATATCCAGCCTGATATCTTTCTTGCTTTTCATTATTATTTGAGTTACTTCTCTCGCTAATTGGTATTTGTCCTTAAATCTGAAGGTCATCTATATTCCTGGTTTATCTCAAGTAAAAGTATAGGAAGAAAAATTGTAGAATTCACTCTAGTATCCTAGAATTCTGAATATTTAATTTTTCTTAATTTGTAAAGATAGTTAAACAATGTACAGTTATTGGTGGAACAATTCAGTATGATGTATTTTCTGTGGTTTGAATGTATTCCTTCCAAAATTCTAGTATTGTCAATGTGATAGTATTAAAGAATGGGTCCTTTCAGAGGTGATTAGGCTATGAAGGCTCCTCACTGCTTACCAGAATTAAGGACCTTGTGAAAGAGGTGTCATGCAACATTCCACTAGCTTGCTCTCCTGTCCATATGCCATGAGAAAACATGAAGTTCTTCCTCTCTGGAGGATGCAGCCCTCACCAGACAACAAAACCTGCTGGTGCCTTGAATCTTGGACTTTCTGGAGCCTTGAATCTGGAACTTCCCAGCTTCCAAAACTGTGAGGAAATAAATTTCCGTTCATTAGAAATCACTCAGTCTCAGCTATTCTATCATAGCAACACAAAAAGTCTGCATTCATTCAGGCTATGGGTCATAAAACATAGTACAGGATACTTTTTTTCTTTCTTTTAAAAATACTTTGGTTCCAGAGAAGTTTTAGGTTCCAGTAAAATTGAACAGAAGGTAGAGAGCTTTCTTATCTGCCCTCTGTCCTCACATTCCCCATCAGAATGGTGCATTTGTTATAATTGATGATCACACTTTAATATATCATAATCACCCATTGTTGACACTATGGTTCATGCTTGGTGTTTTACATTCTTTAGGTCTTGGTGAATATTTAATGAAATGTATTCATCATTATGGTATCATACAGAGTATTTTCACTGCTCTAAAATGTCCTTTGTGATCCATTGATTTATCCCTCCCCATCCCCCGCTACATCTGGCAACCAGTGGTTTTTTTAATTTTAATTTAATTTAATTTTATTTTTTATTTTTGCTTTCTCCATAGGTTTGCCACTTCCAGAATGTCATATAGTTTGAATTATATAGTATGTAGAATTTTCAGATTAGCATTTTTTTAACTTAGTAATATAAATTTGAAATTACTCCTTGTGTTTTTGTGACTTGGTAGCTCATTTCATTTTAGCATTGAATAATATTTCATTGTTTGGGTGTACCAGAGTTTAGCTATCCACTCACCTACTATAGAATATCTCTGTTGCTTCCACACTTTGGCAATTATGAATACAGTTGCTATAAACATTTGTTTGCATGTTTTTGTGTGGACATAAATTTTCAACTCTTTTGGGTAAATATCAAGAAACACAATTGCTAGATTGTATAAGAATATGTTTAGCTCTGTAAGAAACTGCCAAACTGTCTTCCAAAGTGGATGTCCATTTTGCATTCCCACATGTAAGAAATGAGTGTTCTTGTGGTTTTGGATTTTCATCATTCTAATAGGTGTGCAGTGGTATCTCATTGTTTTAATTTGCATTTCCCTAATGACATATGATGTGGAGAATGCTTTCATATACTTATTTGCAATGTGTATATCTTCTTTGGTGAGATGTCTGTTTAGGTTTCTGATTCATTTTTTAGTAGGATTGTTTATTTTCTAATTGAGTTTTAGAAGTTTATTGTATATTTGAATAAGAGCTCTTTATGAGATGTGTTTTTTACAAATATTTCTCTCAGTCTGTGATTTATCCTTGCATTCTTTTCTCATTATCTTTCACAGAGCAGAAATATTTAATTTTAATGAAGTCCAGGTCATTTATTTCTTTCATAAATCATGGCTTTAGTGTTGTAACTAAAAAGTAATTGCCAAACCCAAAGTCATCTAGATTTTCTCCTATGTTATAATCTAGATGTTTTGTAGTCTTACATTTCACATTCAGGTCTGCAATCCTGGAGTTTTTGAAGGGTGTGATATCTGTGTCTAGATTCAATTTTGTGTGTGTGTGGATGTCCAGTTGTCCCACTATCATTTGTTGAAAATATTGTCTTTTGTCCTTTGTATTGCCTTTGCTTCTTTGTCAAAGATCAGTTGACCATATTTATGTGAGTCTATTTCTAAACTCTCAATTCTGTTTCATTGATTTATTTGTCTACTCTTTCACCAATACTACACTGTCTTAATTACTATGGTTTCATAATAAGCCTTAAGGTCATGTAGTATTAGTCTTTCAACTTTGTTCTTCTCCTTCAATGTTGCATTGGTGATTCTGGGTCTTCTGTCTCTCCATATTGATGTTAAATTAATCAATGTCCATAAAACTAAATTGCTGAGGTTTTGCTTGGATTTCCATTGCTGGGGTTTTGATTGGGAATCCATTGATAAGATTGGAAAGAACCAATATCTTGACAATATTGAGTGTTCTTATCTATGAACATGAAATATTTCTCCAATTTATTTGGTTCTTCATTGATTTCTTTCATCTGAGTTATATAGTTTTCTCTTTTAGATCTTGTATATATATTGTGTGATTTATACAGAAATATTTAATTTTGGGGTGCCACTTCAAATGGTATTGTGTTTTTAATTTTAAAATCCATTTTTTCATTGTTGGCATATAGGAACATATGACTTTTGTATATTGACCTTTGTATCCTGCAACTTCACTGTAATCACTTATTAGTCCCAGGAGTTTTTGTTGATTCTTTCGGATTTCTTACATAGATGATCATGTCATCTGTAAACAAAGACAACCTTATTTCTTTCTTCCAATCTGTACTCCCCTCCCCTCCCCTCCCCTCCCCTCCCCTCCCCTCCCCTCCCCTCCCCTCCCTCCCCTCCCCTCCCCTCCCCTCCCCTCCCCTCCCCTCCCCTTCCCTTCCCTTCCCTTCCCTTCCCTTCCCTTCCCTTCCCTTCCCTTCCCTTCCCTTGCTTTCATCATTATCTAGCACTTCTAGGATGATATTAAAAAGGAGCGGTGAGAAGGGATATTCTTGCCCTGTTCCTGAAGGTAGTGGGAAAACTTCTCATTTCTCACCAATATGCTGCTTTTTGTAGTGAAACTTAATGACAGCTAAACAAATAAAGCAAAGCCTTCTTTTCCCAAACCGAGCTAAGATTGCTATTGTTTAGTCACACTAACCTTTCCTCTGTATAAGTAATCCTTAAGGTAAAGGGAAATCTTTGTGGAAAAAGATGGAACAGGAGCATAGTTATACAATTGCCTTCCTTAAGCCCCTTATTCATTTTCACAAATATTTATTGTTTGTACACTATGTACTAGACACTGCTCAAGGCTCTAGAAACTGAAAAACAAAAAAGTTATCTCTGCATTTTAGGGACTTACACTCTAAAAGGAAGTGATAGGCAATAAATAAGCTATGAATGGTCATCATAAGAGTGGTAGAAGAAGCTACTAAGGTGTTATGAGAGAAAATAATGGGGTGTGGACTACGTGAGATTGGATAAGCAGAGGTGTCTCTGAGAATATCATATGGACCAATTTGCAAAGAGCCACAGAAAGAGCTTTCTAGGTAGAGAGAATGGCTTGTGCAAAAGCCCTGAGATATGAAAGAACTTTGACAAGTTCAAGATACAGAAAGAGGTATGACATAGCCAAATGGAAGTAGGAAAGGGGAGAGTGGCATGGAGCAAAATTGGAGAAGCAACAAGCCAAAAACTGAAATGAAAATAGAAATGTCTAGGCAGATAATTTGGAAACTGAATAAAAGAGTGAAGTTTCCTTTCGCGAGAAGACGGACATAATCAGTCACTGTTGCTGTCTTTATACAACCCTTGCCCTTTTCCTCCTAAGCCTGAAACTGTCTTGTCACCATTGGTTTGGCCCATCTGAAGAGTGGTATATGAGTTGCCTTGTCTAACTTAAACCTACTTCCATTGATTTTACTCAGGCAAATTCTCTGTTTTGGAGGCCATGGGAAGACACTTTTCATATGCAAATAGGGCAATTATTCAACAAAAGTGACCTAATTTAGTGTAGACAAACATGTTAAATGTTATCCATTCTCCCTTGGGGTATTTTGCGATCAAAAACTTTCCCTTTGGTTTATGTATTCACACAGATTTGAAAGCAAACCATCTGGATGATCCTGATTCATTTACATTCCACTCATTACCATGTCATTCTTTTATAGTGGTTTGAAGCTTAAAAACCTTTTGTGACTTATTTACCTAAAAAAATAATTTTAAAAGGTCTTTTTAACTCTTTTTGTTCATAAGAACAGGAAATATTATAAACACAAAAACAGAAAAGACCAATTCCAGATTTCAGTTTACAGCATAAAAATTTATGATACTGGTTTAAGTTTCAAATTAGCCAAATGGATTTACACATCTATGATAGAGTGAGGAAAATCAGACTTTGTTGACTTTGTTAACATGAACAATGGATGTCTTTTACATAGAGTAGAAGACTACAGCATATCATTGAGAGGTAAGAGTTTCACTCTGCTTATTTCTTTAATTCAGTAAGCTGTTGAATTCAGAGGTACCAGACCTTTAGGAAAAAAAAAATCATCAAATTACATACTGACAGTGTTTGAAGAGACACTATAAAAGGTCATTTTATTGGGTAAGGCCCTGCTGTTTGCATGTGACAGAGAATTCGCTAGACTGGGCTTAAACAAAATAAGAAACTAATTGTTTAGGTGGCTGAAAAACTCAGAGGTAGAGTGGGTTTCAGCTATGGGAGAATTTAGAGATTCAAACAGTGTCATCAGAACATGTCAAATACACAATGTCAAAGACAGTTCTGTGTCTCTCCACCTCTGATCTATGGTTTCCTCTCTTCATGTGATGGGAAAATGTTTTTAAGTAACTTGAGACCGTGTACTCCTAGTTTCCTGAGGCCTGATGGGGGATTAAAATGATATGCATATGCTCCTCTCTCAATAATTACATCAAAACTCCCTAGGTGTCTGATTGGGTCAAGAGTTCATTTATGAGCCAATCACTGTGCTTGAAAGCTGGGGTTTTCTGATTTCTCAGGGCCGAGTTATGAGCTACCTGGTGGAACTAAGGGTTTGAGTGAATTCTACTTGAAGCACTGGGAAAGAAACAGGGGAGGAGATATTGCAAAGGAAACTTGAGGTATCATCCCCAGAGGAAAAGATGATGAATATTGGATAGTAAAACAAGCAACCCAACTAGCAAACAAAGTGAAACAAAAATGTCCATTGCACACCTACTGCCCCCATTCCTCTGATGCTCGAATCTCTTGATTGGTAAAGTGAAACCGCCGCCTGGATGGACATCCTAGCTTTGTCGTAAATTACCTAGGTGATGTGGCCAAATCCCTTCACTTCTCTGTGCCTCTGTATCCTCATTTCTAAAAGTCAGGGATTGAACTCAATGCTCTCTCCAAGTTTTCTTCCAGCTCTGAAATGGTAATGATCCCAAGCTTGCCAAATGAGAATGGGAAGATCCCCCTGGCCTAAGATTTCGTGGAAAAGAAAACGGAAGCAGGCCCAGGTGCAGGGCAGAAAAGGGAGCCAGCAGACCCTGGGCCATAGAGCGAAGGAAGCAAAAAGAATTCTCAGGAGAGCAAGGTCAACTCCAGGACAGGACATCTCTCTGCAAGCTGAGGAGCACCCTCCAGTCACCGCCGATTGCTCTGTGAGCGAGTGCACTGGAGCGGTGGTGATAGTTGCCATAGAGAAGGATAAATAGACTGTTGTTTGGTGCAATAACTTGGTTTCCACCAGAAAGTTTCACACTCAAAATAAATATTACATATGGCTCCCATCAGCAGTGCCTAATCCAGAAAGAAAAACATATATTTTCTGAGGTGTTATAAGTGTTATAATTCTACATGTCCATAATCTCTCATCTAGAGGCTTTGAAATCATACGTGTTTTGGAATTCAATTTTTTTAAATTCTAAGAAGCAAATAGAAAACACGTATCATTTATGGTATCAAAAGTGGGATACAGTGTAGCACCCTTTAATCATATATATTGATATTACTATAGTAAAATGTATGAATGTTTACATTGAGAGAGAGAAAGATTACAAATAGTTTCCCATTAGTTCAGGTCATGTTGAATTTTTTCAAAAATTCAGTTTCCAGAGCTTTCTGGATTCTAGAGTAGTGGACAAAGGATCTGTAGGTACCAGAGGTGATTGAGATCATCTTGGATAAAATAAGAGAGATGGGAATAAGTTGAATTGTTTTTATTAATGTTAAGGTAGATGGAATTTACCTCCTTGTCTTCTTCCTCTGTGCGAGTCTATAGTAGGTGTTTAATAACTATTTGTGAAATGAATACTTCCTATCCATTTTTGGCTCACAGGTTGTGTTTTCATCTCACTGTTCCACTCTCTCTACTGAATGGTCACATGACATTCATGAATGGCCTCTATAGCATTTGATGGTTAGAGCGTTCTCCCTGGGTCTCTCTTTTACTGATTTTCATAAAGCCACATTGTATCTCAATCTCTGGAGGGTCCTGCTTGATTTCTCTCTTGGGCTACTTTCCCTCCACCTGCTCCTTGTTTATTGGTGTTCGCTACTCTTGTTCCTCTGCATATTTTTCATTGGTAAACTGCATAGATTAGATTACTCACTTAGGATTTTTGTGATAGATAACCCTAAGTGGATAATCTGTCTCCCAGGCTGGAGTACGGTGGCGCAATCTCGGCTCACTGCAACCTCTGCTTCCTGGTTCAAGCGATTGTCCTGCCTCAGCCTCTTGAGTAGCTGGGATTAGAGGCACACGCCACCACACCCAGCTAATTTTTGGATTTTTAGTAGACGGGGTTTCACCATGTTGGTCAGGCTGGTCTCGAACTCCTGACCTCGTGATTCGCCTGCCCCAGACTCCCAAAGTGCTGGGATTACAGGTGTAAGCCACCGTGCCCAGTCACTTATTTGGATTTTCTAAGATCAGGAGTTATGGTTGACAAGATGTTTCCCAAACCAAATATGCTAATGAGTTACAATCAAATTTATTATGTTCCCCTCCTTCTCTTTTCCTGCTTCCCTCCCCGTTACCCCCCCCCCCCCACACACACAGAGCATGCCTCAGTGAAAACTACCACCCTCTATTCAGGTCCCCAAGACAGATTCCTGAGTTATGAAGTTTGATCTGTTGCACAGTACCTAGCTTATATCTTTTTTATATATTTCTTTTTCTCCATCATTTACTCTGTGACTATCTTAATTCTGAACTTCGTTATCCTTTGCATGAATTACTCAGTGGCCTCCTAACTCACTTTGCTGTTTCTAGTTAACAAGCTCTGTAATTCATTATCTCCATTACTATTACAGACACCAAGTCATCACTGTGCTTCAAGTCTGTGACTTTCCTCACCCTCAAGATCAAGTCCAAACTCCATTATTTGATACTACGCTCCATATCACCTGGCCTCTAATTTCTAGACTCACTTTTGGTTTTCATTCTGTGTCCCAGTCATAGGAAATTATTTATAGCTCTCCAAACACGCTCAAACCATTTTGTCTTGTTTCTTTGCACATGGTATCCTCATTTTCTAAAACTGCTCATCCTCTCAAATAACTAATTTATATTTATGATTCAGACTCAGCTTAGACACCTGCTTCTCCAGGAAGTTTCCAGCTGATCATGCTCAGCTGGAATCAGTATCCTCCCCTGCACACCTATAGCACACTGTTTATAATCCTATTATAAATACTTTATAATGTTGATTTTCTTTCATAAGATTGCTGGCTTTATGTCAGCAGAGGCCAAGAAGTTTATA